ACCCTCTTATGCACTTTTTTCCCTTTCTCCAGTGTTGGTTACATGTCTTATACTGGAAGGATCTGAAAATATCCAACATTTTCTGTTCTAAAATGTCAAAATTATGAATCATATTCCAATAATGCCGCATAGGGACAAAGTGACTGAGTTGATAGCATAAACATAGGAACAAATAATGTGGTATATGAAATTAATCATCAGTTTTATTGCAATTCTTTCCTATCGAACAGTATATATTAGGCCTTTCAAAAAGTGATCCTTCACGTTTGAATGTTTAATTTTGTCTTAGCGCATTTGCTCCAAGCGAGCAGCCATCCCTTCAGACACTATTTTGAAGATCTCGCTCTATCTAAGACTTGAGTTATCTTTGCTCGAAATCATCCCTACTATATATGATGCGCCATGTCTGTCTGTGTGTCACGGTGTCTGTCTGTCACGAAAATCCCTAAATTCCCTACTTTCTGGAGATTCACCTGGAGAGACCGGGTCAAGTGTGGGATGGGTGTACCATATCTCGAGAAGTACAAAACATACATCAGCTAAGCGGAGCCCCGCCCACAGTGGGCGTGGCGTGCGTCGAAATGAGTGGTACTGAGGACCATGATTTCAAATTCAGTCACAAAACAGCCTCGAGACGGGACAAAAGTGGGTATAGGTGTGCGTTGGTAAGCCAGATCGAATTGGGAGACCCACCCTCGGTGGGCGGGGCGTTCTCCAAAAAAGCAGTGCTTTATGAAAAATTTCATAACTCGGTTGGGAGAAAGCCTACAGAGCAGAAAAAAATTGGTGCAGGGGAGCAATGTCTAAGGTATTTCCAGCATACATGACGTGGCGGAGGCCCGCCCACAATGGGCGGAGCGTGTCCTGAAGTGGACAGCATTTTCTACAAGTCCTCATAATTCGTTCCGAGAAGTCTTAGAGAGCGGAAAAAAGGTGGATAGAGGTCAGAGGAGGAGGGGAGGGGAACTGTTGGTGGTGGGCGTGGCGCGCACAAAAGTGGGCGGAGTTTGCTACCAAATTATAACTCGGTTCCAAGAAGTCCCGGAGGCCGGGAAAAAAGTGGAGTAGAGGTCGGCGAAGGAAAGGAGGTCAACTGCTATTGGTGGGCGGGCATGCACCAAAGTGGGCGGAGTTATCCACGAAATTTT